TTGATTAGTTTTCATAGCTTTCTAATCTCTCTCATAACTTTCATTCTCTCAAACTCAAAACACTCAAAAGATCTTTACACTAGCTTTTAGCGTAGTGCACATGTACATCGACCAAGCAATGACGGCACATGACAAGGATGAATTCTTCAAGGCCATGAAAAAGGAAGTGGACTCGCACACGGATAATGAGCACTGGATCGTCATTCCCAGGTCGCAAGTGCCGGCCAACGACGACGTGCTACTGGCAGTGTGGGCATTCAGACGCAAACGGAAGATATCGACGAACGAGATATATAAATGGAAGGCAAGATTGAACGTGCAAGGAGGAAAGCAGAAACACGGCGTCAACTACTGGGAAACATACTCACCAGTGGTAGGATGGTCGACAATCAGGCTGTTCCTCATCCTCATGCTTTTGAATCAGTGGGAGTCCAAGCAGATAGACTTTGTGCTGGCCTTCCCACAAGCGGAGATAGAGTGCGACATGTACATGGAAATCCCAGTTGGTTTCGAGTTCGAGGGAAGCCGCAGGGACCACGTGCTTCAGCTGAAACGGAACTTGTACGGGCAGAAACAGGCAGGAAGAGTGTGGAACCAGTTCTTGCACGAAGGTCTGATCGTACGAGGATTTGTGCAGAGCAGTGTGGACATGTGCGTATATTACAAGGGCTCAGTGGTGCTGATGGTGTACATAGATGACGGCATATTTATAGGACCATCTCAAAAGGAGATCCAAGATTGCTACGACTCACTATGCAACGAGTACACGGATGCAGCCGGCAATAAGCACCGAGGCTACAGTATGACGGATGAAGGGGACCTGAGCGACTACCTTGGAATCAAGGTCGAGCGACTCGACAATGGAACCATCAAACTGTCTCAGTCGCATCTGATCAACAGCATACTCAAGGACCTGGGTTTCGAACACGACGGCAAGAGTGGGAAGAAAGCTACGAAGTCCAAACCTACGCCAGCACCATCCACGCAGAAGCTAAATAGAGATCCACACGGCACAGCTTACGATGAAGAATGGAGCTACAGAGCAATAGTGGGAAAGATGAATTTCTTGGAAAAGTCAACACGGCTTGACATCGCGTACTCCGTACATCAGTGCGCTAGGTTCTCCATCGATCCAAAAGAGTCCCATGCCAACGCCATTAAGCACATCGGCCGATACTTGGTCGGAACCAAGGAAAAGGGCATTATACTCAATCCACGTGACCATTCTTTCGACTGCTGGGTGGATGCAGATTTTGTGGGAAACTGGAACAAGATCGATGCTGAACTTGATTCTGGTACAGCCAAGTCTCGCACTGGCTACATAGTCACGTATGGCTGTTGTCCCGTAGTATGGGCATCGAAGATACAACGCGAAGTCGCCTTATCGATTACTGAGGCAGAATACCTCGCCGTATCTGAGAGTCTGCGATATGTCATACACTTGATGGAGCTGATGGAGGACGCAAAACGATTGGGTTGGACGATGACTACGGCAGCACCCAAGGTTCATTGCAAGGTCTGGGAGGACAACTCAGGAGCCCTCGAGATGGTGAGACTACCAAAGATGAGGTCCCGTACCAAGCACATCAATGTCAAATACCACCATTTTAGGGAATATGTGCGCAATGGCAGAGTGTCGATCCACAAGGTCATCAGCGAACACCAGTTGGCTGACATAGCCACGAAGCCTCAACCAAGAGCTCTGTTCGAAGCACAGCGTGAAGGTCTGATGCAATGGGCCGCCGAGTTCATGACCCGCACAGCATCTGAGGGCATGTGAGATTATTGAAGCTGTAGCTCACCAGGCTTCACTATCTAAGTAAACAGCATGCATAGCAGTACACAAGCCATGCCCTTGGTACATAACATGGACAAACCAAACTGTAACAAACAGTATTTGGAGACGCAGAAAGGTAATAAAACAACCTAAACTAAGCTCACAATTTGATAATCTTTCACCAAGGGCAACGGCAAAGAGGGCAATGACAACAACGCTGCCATGCAACAAAAGGAAACAGACCCAAAGAAGAGAGCCGTCAGCCTTGGGCGACAGCAAACTAGCTAGCGAGCTAGCCAGCCGTTAGTTACGCTTGCCAATGGATAAGGAGGATACCGGTACTACCCAGGTCTGTGCAGAAAAAGATGCCGTTCAGGAAATATTGCACTCCCTGTATCAACAGCAGCTACAACAACGACAAACCAGGAACGCTGTTGGTGAACAACAACAATCCAGGAATGCTGGTGATGCTACTATTAAACATGGTGACGTCTCCGACGCTCACCAGCATGTTAAAGAAGACACTTCTGACGTAGAGATGATCACCTTTAGCAAGGGCATCAAGGAAGCCTCCAGGCCACAAGAGACTGATCACGCTGGTGACGTACAGAGAACCAGACTTCCGCCATGGCACGGACTTACGGCGTTGGAGATATCAGATTCGATATTTTTTCCAGATGGACAAAAAGAAATCTCTCCAGCGCCAGACAGAGGGCCACAAAGAGTGTCACAAAGTTATGTGCGCGTCCCCGTGCCTGGTGCATATTCGGTCAGTGGGCCTTTTGCTGGTCAAAATAGCAACGAAGATCAGTTACCTGAAGAACCCCAAGCACCCATCGATGCTGCTGTATCGAGGGAGTTCGATGAAGAAGATTTCGACTTCATTGACAGTGCAGAGCCAAGGTTATCCAGCGAGAGATCAAGGCAATACTGGAGGCTTAGGTTGCTCCGTGTCCTTTCACTGGAGGTCAACGTAGTTCTCATGGCAGTGTTTGCGGTCCTGCACAATTTTGGCGGTGTCTATGAGAGGGCACAACAACAACAGTCTACCAACAGCCATTGAAATTCCATCGAGCCCACTAGCACTGACAGCTTCTCCAGCACAAACGCCAACTCTTCTTTTGGAGTTACTCAATTTACCAGATCATACACTGTCGGCTATGGAACGTTCAGAATCGCCTCAATCAAAAGCCTATCTATGGCTAGTCAACAATATCAGCAACCAAACATCTACTCACAAGGATCTGCCGACCTATCTATGGCTAGTCAACAATATCAACAACCAAACCTCTACTCACAAGGATCTGCCAAAGTGGAGACTGATCCAAAGATTTGCTCTGGCCACAATCTACTCTTCTTTGAGAGGAGATCATTGGGTGCAGCATCATGAATGGTTGGACTGGGAGACCAATGAATGCAACTGGGAACAAATAGATTACATCCAAGATTTCTCCAGCTGCAATGAGAGAGGAGAAATCAAGGCACTGGCATTTGAGAATGCCAATAATCTGGACGGATCAATTCCACCAGAGATTTCATTGTTGGGCCATAGTCTGCAGCTTGTTATATTCCGTCAACATAAGGAGCTCACTGGGGTCATCCCAACTGAAATTGGTCAGCTGACCAAACTGACAAAGTTGACAATAAGTGCAACAAGTATTGTTGGAACACTTCCAACAAAATTTGGCACACTGCAGAGTCTGGAGACTCTTCAAATTCATTTGAACAAAATTGATGGCAAAATACCATCAGAGGTGGGCAAAGTAGGCAACCTATCGGAGCTGAGTTTCTTGAGCTCTGATATAACAGGTACGTCTCCAAATTTTTGCACATCCTAGGCCCTACTGAGAAAGATGAACCTCACATTTTCTCCAACTTAGGCTTAGTGCCTGGTGAGATTTTCCAATTGCCAGGCCTCACAAGATTAAATCTTTTTGGCTGCCAGAAGCTTACAGCTTACAATGTCCTTGATGAAGTTATTAGAAACTTGCACAACCTGCAACAGCTTCAACTGTCAGGTAGAACTGCTGGGGCGGAGATATCAATTCCATATAAGATTTCCTTCAGGTTTGGCCTTGACAGAACCAGACATAGTGGTTGCAATGAGGATGGCTAACACTTCATCATGATTCTTTGTCCGCAGCTGAACTTGGCAAACTAACAGAGTTAACGTCCCTTATATTGGCTGACTGGAAAATCATTGGCACTATACCAATTGAGCTTGGGAACTTGGTAGGGTTGGTATGTGATCTTGTTGTGGCCCTGTGTTCTGCTGCAACGGGTGTTTCTAAGCTTGTGAGGTTTCATGACTTGTACACAGAAAAGTCTCAGGTTGAGTGAGAACTCATTAGTAGGAACTTTGCCACAAGTGTTTCTTGCAATGAGCAGCGAGTATACTTGTGTTGGTGTAGCCTTGCTTCTGGACACATATTGACTCACTCTGTTACCAACATTCCCGTCTGTCTCTTAGATCTGTCCGACCTTGCGCTTGGTTCCAATCGCTTGAAGGGAACACTACTGTTTGATTTCTTTTCCAAACTCACAAGGTTGCGACACGTGTACATCAACGACAACCAAATTTCGGGCTCTATTTCAAGGCAAGTTGGTCTGGCATCCAGCCTCATCAGACTAGAACTGCAGAATACCAAGCTCTCTGGGCCAATGCCCACAGAGCTCTTGGCCTTGGACAACTTGACAAGCTTGGTAGTCACCAGCACATCCTTGTCAAGGAGCATTCCCGCAGAACTATGTGAAAAAATGTACAAGCACAAATGGAATTGCTTGGGTGTGTCTAACTGTGGACTTTTCCCAGTGAAAACCAACACAACAGTCTGCTCTGGAACGTCCCTTTGTGGTTGCGATTGCATTCCTTGCTCTGTAGGATCCCTAGCTAGGAAGCAAACAGAGTACTAGCTAGTACACCTTAATAACTGCGGGATGTGAGTGAGACCGCTGTTCTGCCGTGGGCTATTACTTTTCTAAAAACCACAGCTTTTAAGGGTACTCTTAGGGTTAATCTGGTAGATCCACCTTTCGCAACCACCACAACTCACATCGCAGAACTCCAGCTGAAAGGCCACAACCACAAAGGAACAAACACCGCCACTATCACCATGTTGCGAAGAGGCCCGGCAGCCAGACGCAGGAGAAGGGCAGCCCCCGATCGACCACAAGAAGAACCTGGCGATCACCAGAACGTAACCGCTCCCTTGGAGGCTGGTGGATCCTGTTTGAATCTCGATTTGTGCATGGGTGCTGCCACGGTTCTGGAACGACTGCGACGAGTCAATTCCGCCATTATGAGTGTTTCTTTGGAAGTGAATCTCATGTCGGAACTCATATTTGACCAAGAATGGATGGCCATCATGGAATCCATGGGTTCCTTGCCTTCGATCCGCACCGTCTCGTTGAGTTTTCGAATCCGAATTCCCATTCCCACCCAAGCCTTTACCAAACTGATCGAACTGGCCACTCCCATGGAGCAGTTGAATCTGGTGGGCCTGCAATTGTCCCATACCATAATTCGAACGACAACAAGTTCGACTACTAGTGAGGAAGGAGAAGTATCACCCGTCAACGAATTGATTCGGGCATGTCAGAACGCCAAGACGTTGACCAGAATCCATCTGTGTCGCTACCGGCCAGTACCTCTGTATTCCACAGCAGCATCAGGCCATGTTCGGTTGGCGGACCCACTGCTCTTAGCCCTCTCCAACTTGCCAAACTGCCAATTGTTTCACTTGGAGAGAACAAATGTCTTTACCAATCCACAACACAACAACAACAACCCTGATTTGCTAGATTTAATTTGTCGATCACCCTTTTCGAAATTGAAGATTGGACTGCAAGATCGTGCCATCCAATTGCAACAACCAATACCCAAAATGGCAGTCGCCTTCCAACACAATCCACGCTTAAAAGAACTCATTATTCAACACACCATAGACCAACCGGCTCTGGAAGCCATATCCGAGTTGCTACGGACCAACCAAACCCTCGAAAAACTCTCTCTGCTACGAATACAGTGCGACAACTGGAGTACCGTCTTGCAAAACCATGCTCTAGAACACAACACGACCCTACAGAGCCTCGAGTTGAGCATTATTCTCTCCCGTGCCGACCGGTCGCTGTTAAAGACCAACTGGAGCAACTTGGCCATGTCCCTGAGCCATCACAATTCCCGTCTCACCACGCTCCATGTGGATTTGGCGGGTGCACGGCATGGCTCTGGTCTTGCCACGGAACCCTTGTTGAAGATGCTCCGAGAGGACAACTTTGTGCTGCAAAACATTGTCATCAATCGCAACACGGTCCCATTGCACCCTGATATTCTCTTTTACTTGAAGTTGAACAAGATTGGGAGGAACAAATTGTTGCGACAACAAGCCGTGGCATCCGAAACGGAACTTGTGGCCAACAGCAACAAGGGAAGTCTTCGGGACGATTGGATTCAAACGTTGATCAAACACAAATCCAATGTCCGCATCTTGCACTATTTCATCTGCCGAGATCCCAGCATTATTATCCCACTTACGCTTAGTGCTACTACTTGTTGAAGAACAAGTTGTGTCTCAAGTTGGTGGCGGCTCGCAGTATGGACCGTCCTCCAAAGAGCACCAAGGATGACATGTACAATTGATGCAAGTGTTCACTATCCAACGACAGTGCCAATAGTCGCCCAGAATGGCACCGCCACACACATGTCCCGCTGTGGCAAGGGGAATCGCATGAATCCGCAACACAGCTGATGTCAGGATGGAAGGAATGATGGCGCACATGGCCGTTCCTTGCACGCAACGATGATCGAGATTCGTCATTTCCGTCAAGTAGGACATGCACAAACAACCTCCCACTCCCATCATGTTACTGAGGATGCCTGAGAACAGACCAAAGGATGCAAAATGAAGGAACTTTTGTAGTGATCCAACTGTTGGGATTGTTGTAATAGTAGGTCATTGGTGTCGTACACAACAACGGGTGGATCGTCAGCCATGGTTGTTGTTGACGCTTGTTGCTTGACTTTTTCAAATTAGTTGTTGCCGTCGCTTCTTGGCTCTTTCTTGGATCCAAAAATGAGTGGGGAGCAGTACAATACGGCTAGTTGCTAGCTACCGGTACCCCCGATGAGAGAAAGGCGGCAGAGAGAAAGATGGTATAATATTATCAACGTGGCCAGCTGCAAAAGGGCGAAGGGAAAAGGCACGCCACCAATACGCTGATCTCCTCTGGATCCATTGAAATGGCGTGATGCCTGGCATTCACCACGGTAGAGCAACGCATGAATAGCCCAGGCATAAAAAAAGCTGAGCACTGGCCTTGACACTTTCCAGGAGCTCCTCGCAGCATGAGATCCATACTTGTGGCGCCAAGCATTCTATGCAAAAAAGCCAGCGACGGGTGAAGGACGGGGACAACGGTAATTGTGCTTTGTTTACTCCTCAACGATTGTCCCTGAGAGGTAAAACGTTTGACATGTATCAATGTGCACCTTCACTAGCTTGCCTCGGAGCTCGTCAATGTCACCATCACAATAAACGATAAACCCGTGAGTGGATCTTCCCATGACCTGTGTGGGTCTCTTCACATTTCTTTCTTCCACCAGAATTTCTACAGTTCTACCCATCAAGCGGGATCGCCGTTGCGCCGCATGCTGCAGATTGAGTTCATTGATGCGCCGCAGACGATCTTGCTTTGCATCGTCCGCAACTTGATTGTCCCACAGAGCCGCAGGTGTATTGGGTCGTGGCGAGTAGGCTGCCGTATTGACAGTATCAAACACAACTTCCTCCATCAAACTCAAGGTTTCTTGAAACTGCTCTTCGGTTTCGCCCGGAAATCCCACAATCACGTCTGCGGTAATGGCGGCATCAGGGAGACGGGAACGTATCCGATCTACAATGTGCAGGTACTTTTCGCGTGTATGTCCTCTTCCCATGGCAGCCAGCACCTCGTTGGATCCACTCTGAAAGGGGATGTGGAAGTTCTCACATGCCGCATCCGTTTCTGCAACGGCATCGACGACTCCCAATGACATGTAACGTGGGTGGGATGTCACAAAGCGGAGTCTTTCCAAACCTGGAATATCTCCCACTATCCTGATCAAGTCCGAGAATTTGCGTTTGGGAATCATGTCTCTTCCGTAAGCACTGCAATTTTTAAAGTCAAGCATGGATTTATTCGATCAATCAGAGAACGGTTAGAAATGGAGTAGAGGTTCCCTTGCCACAAATATTCCACTGTTACTGCATGCAGCGCAACGTTGTACATGTATCAGCAACAAAGAAAAAGGTAACTTACTCAATGTTTTGTCCCAACAAGGTCACTTCTTTGTATCCCTGTTGGACCAACTCGGAAATTTCTGCGATAATACTCTCGACGGGCCTCGACTGTTCGACTCCTCGTGTGGTGGGTACAATGCAAAAGGTACACCTTTCATTGCATCCATAAATGACATTGACCCATGCCGCCACTGTGGATTGTCGTCTTGGTTTGGTGGAATCTTCCATAATATGTGTGGCTTCAGTAGCAACAACTTGATTTCCCATGGACACATCTTCCAAAAGATCACCAATGCGGTTCGCGTACTGAATATTATGGGAACAAACAGCAAAAAAACAAATGCGCAGTGACGATGAGACAAGAAAAGTTCGTTAGTCGATCGAGAACCGGGCAGCAAAAAGGCGAGCAAACGATTTGGCGTTTCCCCAAAAAACATGCTGCCAACTCAACTAATTCAACTGTACGAACTCTTACCTGTGGTCCCATGACCAGATCCACTTCGGGGCATCGTCTCAGGAGTGCTTCTCCCTCTTGTTGCGCCACACAGCCCGCGACAATAATGGTGACATCTTCTCCCTCTCGCTTTCGTTTGGCATGTGGTCCAATGTAGGAATACACCTTTTGTTCGGCGTGATCACGAATGCTGCAGGTATTCAATACTACAATATCTGGTTTTTTACTGTCGTCGTTGTTGCGTGGTTGAATTCCCAAATTTTGCAATTGTCCTTCCATTCGTTCCGAATCGGCGCGGTTCATTTGACATCCCATGGTTTCCATTTGGTAGGTTTTGGGTGAATGTTGTTGTGGTTGTTGACGACGACTGCGTTTGTTGGTTTTGGTTTTGCGTGGTTTTCGCACCGATGCCATTTTTCGGACATCGGCCATGACATCGACGACCTGTACCAGATGATACCCCACCGAGGATTCCACCATGACGATATCTCCTGGTTTGGTGGTGATTTGTACCATTTGTTGTCGCGCTTCGGGTGGGAAAATCATGTCCAAATGTTCGTCGGGGTCTTCTTCTTTATTATTAGCAATAGGTTGGGTATCTTCTTTTTCGTCATCTTGCTGTTGTTTGGGCACATTCATCCATCCCAACGAACCTCCCTTGTCTCGTGTGGCAGTACACGAACTAATCTGTTGTGCCAGATCCGAAAACCCCGTGTGAGCGGCTCGCAATTGGTGCAAACTGACTTCGGCCAATTCGCGCGACGCAAACAAAATGTGGGCCAGTCGAATGGCCGTCAAGTACTGACGTCCCGCACCGGTGGCAATAATCTTGCGCGAATCCACTTCGGTACCTCGGAGTGTCGGATATCGGGGAAGTGGCGTTGTTGATGTTGTGTTGGTGGTGGTTTCACGAGGAGACGATAGCACCATTCGTCGTGTTGTGGAGTGTCTTGTCATGGCAGCAGAAGAAGAAATACCAGTGACGGGAGAAAAGGCCGTCGTCATCCATTGGTGGTGGAGCAGTGCTGGTAGCACCAACAGTCCCACAAGAGTTCTCGAGGAGGCTATTGTCGGTCTCATCATCTTCATCTTCAGTACATCTATCATCAAAGTGGCTTCGTATCTTCTATTCTCGGCATAAATGGATCCACAGTTCGAGGACAGCTTAGCGAGCCAAGATTTGAGATCCTGTTGCAGCAGCTGTTTCATTGCCTTTCCTGCGTGCAGTGGGGTGAGGCGGTGAGGCGAGTTGATGGCTTGGCATTTGGCATCAGCTGGAAGAGACTGACGTATGATATGTGCAATGAAGGCCAGACGGTGAAGTCTTTGTTCGTGACTAAGTCAAGACTGCCTCCAGCCGGTTCCCGGTTGAAGTTTTTCTAGGATCCAAGGAATGCCAACACCACATTTGCCTCCAACACAACACTACTTGCAAGAGGAAAACAGAGAAGAACTAAAGGTGGAAGACAACGCCACTTTTTGGTCCATTGCATCGATTTCGTTCTGTCATCTGATCCCACCATGAAGAAATTCTCGTCAGCCATCCTTTCCTTGTTGTTTGTGTCTTCGACACTGGCATTTGTGCCTCTGCAGCAACAACAACAACAGCACGTTACTCATTTGGCGGCATCCGTCGATGACAAGACCGAAGTACGAGAATATTTCAACTCGGAAGGATTCAATCGATGGAACAAAATTTATTCCGAAAGTGACGATGTCAACTCGGTACAGATGGATATCCGAACTGGACACGATCAAACCATTCAGAAAATCCTCAACTGGATTGCCGCTGATGGTGATATTGCCGGAAAGACCGTCTGCGATTGTGGATGTGGTGTGGGATCGCTCGCCATTCCATTGGCGCAAATGGGTGAGTTACTGAACTACTGAACAAGCAAATACTGTTGGTATCATTAAAGAAAGAAAGAATGAAAGAAAGCAGCGAGAGTTTATGGAAGGAAGTTGCGATGATGCTGTTGTTGGATTGAGTTTCAAGCAAACAAAAGCTCTCTTGGGATGTTTTGATGTTTGTTGAAGATTATGAAATATTATGTCAACTGTACAGTGCGCTCAACCATTTCTCTTTCTTTCTTTTCCTATCAAATCTCTCTTATCACCACCAATTCACGACAATCACACACACCTACCCACCCTCCTTTCACCATCATCCATCATCAGGTGCCGAACTGTCTGCCAGTGACATTTCCGATGCCATGGCCGACGAAGCGGGACGACGTGCCAAAGAATTGGGAATCGAAAATGCCAAATTCTACAGTTCCGACTTGGAATCGGTCACGGGATCATACTCCACTGTCACCTGCGTCGATGTCGCCATTCACTACCCCACCGAGAAAATGACCGAAATGATCACCCATCTTTGCAGTCTCGCACAAGATCGCGTCATTATCAGTTTTGCACCCAAAACATGGTACTACGTCGCACTCAAAAAGGTCGGAGAACTATTCCCTGGACCCTCCAAAACCACACGAGCATACCTGCACGAAGAAGAGGTCGTCATAAAGGCGCTCAAGGCGGCTGGATTCGAAATTGCCAGGGATGAAATGACCGCTACCAACTTTTACTTTTCGCGACTCTTTGAAGCCAAGCGAGTAGCATAAAAAGCTAAATACGTACCGTAGTAAGCAATGCTATGCAAGGAAGAAAAAGAACCGACGATGATATGTTATGTTGGTGTGCTGTAAGCCCAATCATTTTGTTCCATTACTGCTCTGCTCAGTGGAGTACAGCACCCAGATTGATCTTTCTTTCTAGAGAAGCTTTGGATGGCTCCCGCAGACAGCAGTGGCTCAGGTTGGCGTGGACTTGTGCAAGGCATAATCCATCTCTACTACCCGTAGAGGCCAGCATACACATGAAGTCGATCAGATTGGCTGTTGCTTCATGGAAGACAATGTTCTGACAAAGCACATCTCCGTGATGGAAGCCCTTTTCGTGAAGCTGTTTAAGCTTCAGACATAAAGAAATCAACTGACGTTGGTGGGTGGGGACATTCGTCCCTTCGAGCCAGGGCATTTTTAGAACAGCAACACCGATATCGTCGTTTTCAAGGGCCAGCAGCTCCACTCGTTCCCCGTACAATAGTTTTGCGATCTCCAGATTTGGCCGTCGCATCTTGTGTCGGCAAATCCCATAATCGAACAGCTTGTAAACAGAAGAGTCTGAACGGAAACCTTGGGGTGGATCTTGCGTAGTTTTGTGCCCCGTGGGACACCAGGGCAGAAGTCGCAAGTCTCAATTGCTCCGTGAACGGTCACAGGGCTCAGCAATGCGAGGCAAAGGAAGTAAACCTTCAGTAGTTTGATGCATTTGCCGGGGTCTGCAAAGTGTGCCTCGAAAAGCAGGGCATGTTCCAGGAGACGGCGTTTCACGCTGTCAGGTGCAAAACTACTCCATGTAAAGCCGTAGAGGCGGATGCTCGCATTGCTCATCGTCAACCCAAATGACAATCTTTCTTGGACCTGTATCAACTTGGACTGCGAGGCTTCTGAAATGTATCCACAAAGCCGCCAATTGGCATCATCGTGCAAACTCGCTTTGTTCACTTCGATCATGCCAACAAGCACATCCTCGCGTTGTCCCTCGTTGCAAGAATAAAACGCAGCAATGGCTGTCGACACAGTCGTCCGCGCTGCCCTCCTTGAAACCGCATGCATACTGATGCGAAAAGACGAATGGTAGATTCTGTCGTTGACAAAACTTGTTGAGGTATTGAGAAATGCCTTCGGAGAAGTCGGCCTCTCGCGAAAATATTGTGCCGGAACGGTTCGACGCCGAGAAGACTTTGAGTGACACGAGGGACTCCAGAAGATGCATCCAAGCCTCGTCGCCGTTCAACTTGAGAAGATTCTCTTCGGGAGCAACAGCCGCGTTGCTGCTGCATCCTTCGTAGATAACTTCATGCATGTCTTTCAGCGTACTCGTCGTCGCCAAGGCCCGAAGAGCCTTGTAGAAAGCAGGATGCCGGGCCACGCCACAGTCGCGGTCGTGGATTTGCAAGTTACCCCGACCGTAGTCAAGGTTGTCGGCGTTGAGTTGACTTGGGGACACGCTGTTGTTGGAGCTTTCGGTCGAATCCTTCTCTGCTTGCGTCTCTTGAATTTGCTTTGGCTTTGCAAACATATCTTGTATCTCTTCTTTTCAGGGCAATCATTGGTCTTCTCCAATACGCTCCGCATGTTTTCAAGGTCGTACGGAAGAAAACGCGACTTCTTGCTAGGATTCTTCGGCGAACCGGACAAAGACGATGGCCTCTTCTTTCCATTGTTGTTGCTTGCAGAAGAGCTCATCTTTTGTGCACTCTTCCGCTAATTTTGCTCCCTTCTCCTTCCTGGTTTTCCTCCATGCACCCCCCTTCCCTGCCCCCCCCCCCGTTTTTTGCCCTGCTCCCGTCCTCATTGCTCTCCCCGTACGCCCACCACCACAGCCACCCACCACCGCAGCCCCTGCTCTGCCTAGCTTCACCCCCCTCGCTCCTTAACGTATCTATTTAGTATTTGTTTTTGCACCCATATCCGGTAAGGTGATGGATCTAACCCATGATTTGGGGTGAGCACTATGTATCGATAGCTCTGACAATGCTATTAGCTTGCCTCAGGAAGGTCCAATTTGGTCAACATGCCACAACAAAACTTGTTTGTGGGTGTGCAACAGGCTCGCATTCAGTGATGAAGGCACGAAAAGGAATGAACAGGAAAGCCACCAGACCAGAACAAATTTACACCCCCTTCAATCGGAGGATGAAGGCGGTACAACCGATGGCCGTGAGGTCTACAGGACCTTCTTCCTATCGGTCTGGAGGATTCGTTACTCGAAAGAAATTAGTCTGGAAGGTGAAAGCTTAGCTATATCTTAGAAATGGCGGAATCTAGCTAACTAGCATAATCGCATAATATTCCTCTCAATGATGACACGAGCGAGTTTTCTGGTACCTGGTACATCATGATGAGCGGAGGAGTCGACTGGCACTCGAGGGAGAGGTGTTTGTTGGTGGCTCCACCAGTTTTCCACACCAAGTCTTTTGCTGGTTGACTTCTATAAAGTAGTCTTATCCATTACGGTACGGTACCAAATAATGATAATTACTAGATGTTTACCCTACCGTATTCTTCTCTTCTGAACACAAACACTTCCAGCGGTTTTCTTTTGACTTAAACACTTCCAGCAGCCTTCTGTTGAATGTTTCCCAGCCCTGCCCATTGACGAGACCAAGCCCCTCCTAAATATTGCTGCTTCCTTTTGATGCATGACAACAAACACAAAAGTCATGATCAAAGCGCTCCATCGTCCAACCCTCCACGGTCTTGACAAATTTTTGATTTCCATCCTCCTCCTCTCCACTGTTTCGATCCACGACATCTCGTCTTTACTATTTCTTTTGTCGCTTTCTGGGAGGACCACCCTTCTTCTCTTCCATTTGCTCATGCCGTTCCTTGAACTCCCAGTTGCCACGACGACGATCTTCCGCCGGTTTCTCGGCATCTTCATTCATCTCCTTCAAGCCTCGGACTCGCCGTTCCTCTTCTTCCGTTAGCTCCTCCCCGGCATCGACTTTGGCTTGAATGGCACTCGGAAGCTTGTCATAGCCAGCCTTGAGACCATCGTCATAGGTCACAAAGTCCTCTTGGGTCACGAAGGAGTAGCAATCCAAAGGGTCATCGATGCCATAGTGGTAGACCAAGTACTCGAGTTTCTTCAACTGCTTTTTGCGTTTGCGGGTGGAGTAAAAGTCCCACCAATAGACATCGCGAACAGGACGAGGAGGGACACTGTAGGGGCTCAGAACCAAACAAGGCACATAATCAGGATCGGTGGCTTTTCCAGCGTTCTCTTCATCTTCATCGTCATCCTCTTCAGCCTTGCAGAACCCCATTATGCCAAACATGCTCGTGACTTCCTCGGGGAGAGACTTGAGAATGGTCTCCTTTTCCTTCTCGAACTTGCCCTTTGCTACTGCCGCCATGATGCTTTGGATCAACAGCAGAGACTCACTACTTCTTTCTTTTATTGCTTGTTGTGATGGCTAACTAATACAATAAGCGATTGCCCTTGCCGGTTTATAGTTGTGTTCGTATGAGTGTATGTATGTTTGCACTTCCGATCCTTCATAGTCTTGGGACTGCCGCATGCAATGCAATGCTATGCCTGCATTGCTTGCCTCCCTTGCTTGCCCGGGTGACGGACGACTACTGAGAGAGGGGCGACAGTCGAGGCTGTCTTGCTGTTGTTGTCCTGCTTGTCATGGTTGTGCATTCTCGAAATGTGGAGGTGGGAAGGCGTTTGTTCGTGCTCACAAATTTGATTGAGAAAGGCAGGCGGCATTCGAATTGAATTGAATTGAATCGAATAGATTTATTCGACTCGACTGACTCGACTGATGACTCGACTTGACTCACTCGACTGTCACTTGATCCTTTTCTGTGGTGGTTGTCATTTTTTGCATAAAAGAACCACAATGGCCAATACTACTACTACTAAAACTAGCGGCGACAATGGAACGAAGCAAGGAGGAAACAATGGCGACAACACCATGACACTGTCTTGCGTCCTTGGGTGGATGGGAAGCATGGCAGCCGTGGCCGTTGTGTTCTTGGCGGTGGCCATTATGGTGGTGCCGCGAGTCCTCTACACCGATTTACCACCTGATGTCTCTTTGGATTTGACGAGTCCTACTACCATGATTGTCACTGGAGCCAACAGTGGTCTCGGATTGGCATCTGTCATGCACTTTGCGCACAATGAACACGCAACAATCATCATGGCTTGTCGAAGCCAAACACGATGTACCAGCGCCAAGCAACGCATCTACGACATTCTCGGTGAGGAGGTCGTCAAGGCGAAATTGCAGCCCATGAGTTTGGATCTATCCAAGAAAGAATCGATTGAAGCCTTTGCCAATGAACTCCGGGGTCAGCCAATTCACATCCTCATCAACAATGCTGGATTGGCAGGTGTTTTTCCAGATCTCGAATACAATGCCGAGAATGGAATCGAAACTCATATTCATGTCAATCACTTGGGTCATGTGCGATTGATGCATTGTTTGTGGAACAATCTACAAATGGCAGAAAATGCGAGAATTGTGGCCGTCTCGTCGCTCATGGCAGCTCCTGCCAAGATTATACCGACATTTGGATGGACTCAAGACGAACCTCGCTACACCACCCATTGGAATGGGCGCATGTACGGAGGAAGCAAACGTGCGAATCTGTTTTTTGCCAATGAATTGCACCACCGGTTGATGGATGATACCGCTCTAATCGGAAACAAAAAGAATGGCAGTCAGATCAGTGTCGTTGCCGCTCACCCAGGCTTTACGCAGACAGATTTGTGCAAAAATGGATGCACGGGAAAAAACACTTTTGGCAGATACTTGTCCAATCTAAAATTGCTCGTAGGGACGATCAAAATGACGGCGGAAGATGGAGCTTTGTCACAAGCGTATGCTGCTGTTGTCCCACAAAGTGGCGTGTACATTGGTCCTTCCTTGGCATTGGTGGGAGGGCCAAAAATTTTGGGACAGCTGGATCACTCTAGGCATCACATGGCCTTTACACGTGATGAAAGCAAAGAGCTCTGGGATAAGAGTTTAAAAGCCTTGGGAATCGAGGTCTTTGGCGACTACAAGGTTCCTGTGGAGAATGAAGAGGAGGTGAATGTTAATGAAGTTGCACCAGAGATGATGGAAAGTTCGGAAGAGGTTACCACGGAGTAAAAAGTGATTTGTACAGGAGACACGCATCCCAAGGGACAACCCGTGCGTGATTCGATTCAAGAGAATGAGAATGCCAGGGCGGCTATCCTGTGGCCATGAGAGCCCATGGAGGAGGTGCAGCAGCCTTGCAAAAAAGAGAGGCCACTTGGAAATCATGGGTACAAAGCTGGGCATTACCGGTACCGTATGATCAAAAGGTGAACGGAGTTCTAGCTAGTCCTCCGCGTGCAATATATTAGCAAGGTCAACAGTAGACCATCTCCTTCTGATACCGCTGTTACTTCGTCTGGGTAGATCTAGCTGGCTGGAGTAAGGTTGGCTGAAGCTGCACAGATAGATAGCTAGAATTAGATCTAGCCGGTACATGTAGCTACCATAGGAGCCTCATGTGTGCATCCAGCTCGAGCAATCCAACACCAAACACCCTTTCCACTTCGCATCGCGGTTGTTACATGGATTCTGCAACCTGCAACGTGAAAAAGAGGGCTTTTGTAACTGGTAGTTTTACAACCCCCAACAGGGCCCGCCAAGCAAGCTCAACCCAAGACCACGCTCTGCCGAGAAAAATGAGATGCTGAGGAGCTGGATCTCAAAAGAAAGTTTCCACTGTAAGAGCCAAACGAACACACGCTCGGTGACTGCACAGAGCAGTTCCTTATCAAAGTGAGTGATTCCGATGTCGTAAAGTACGTCTTATGAAGTCTTTGCGCATTCGGTACTGATCAGCTTCGTTTGGCCTTAATGCCTCTGGAGCAAACGGCACTGCGCTGGGCGATCCAGCCACCAGAGTGAGCCACTTGCTAAAATTGGCCTGGGATCAACGGTTCAAGAGATTGCATACAAAACACCACCCATCCCAACTCCTGGAGGGAGGGATCGGAGAGCAAAGAGGTGTGGAAGGACCATTTTTCTTGTTCGTTTCGGTGCTGCTGGTTGTGATTTTGATAAGAGGAGGTGTCTAGTTAGTAGATTTGCCGCTCTTGGTCAAAAGGTTGGAAGAAGAGAGATATTGCCGTTGTTGCGCTGGTTGCTTTCTTCGGCAGCAAGTGGAGGTCATTTCGTCGGCTCCTCGATTTCGGACAGTCGGACAGACGTCCCCAAAGGGTTAGTCCTCACTGAGCGCTCTGTGACCCCCACTCAGTTGGAATGCCTACTGGACCCTACGTGGCTTGTACGTATCTTCACTCTCAGGTCATCGAGAGGCAACCACCCAACACTCATCAGGAGCCGCTGCCATCGAGGCAACCTTCCAACGAGACAGAGGCAGCAGTAGAAGACATCTTGCGCAGTAGTAGCGTGCAGGACAGCAGCAGCACAGCATCAGCAAGGCTGCGCAGCTCTGTTCTGTTGTTCCTTGTGGGCAAATTGGTGGGTAAAAGCACGACACGACACGGCGCTTCCTCCCTTCCAAAACGGCTTGGCTACTGGACAGCGCAGCGGCGCTATTGAGCGGCACACGACATCATAGACGTCCAGACAGCCACCGACGACGGGGGAAACTGCGACAGCCAAGGGGAAGGAAGGTGTTGTAGCAATTTTTCTGATATGAAGAAAGTGCTTATAAGGATGAAGAAACGGCTGAGTGGCGACGGGGAGAGCAAGAAGGCTAGCCGTGAAGCCAAGGAGCGATCGAGTGAATCCGGTCAACAAGATGCCTCCTCGAGTAGTGAGCGACGGAAAGAGGTGGCTCCAAAGTCTCCGCCATCGGCGTCTGTTGCTCGAAAGCCCACAATCACCGAAGAGACATCCACCGATGACACTGCCGCTGCTGCCCCCGCGTCCAAGAGCCCCCCTACTAGTAAAGTAAGATCCACTTCTCCCAAGACGATTAGGCCGCTGGCTGCGAAGACTGCTGCGAAAATCAAGACAACCGCTACCAAGAAAGAGAAGCCAGGGGCCAAGAAAGCCGCCGACAACAAGTCAAACAACGCAGGCAAGAAGAAGGAATCCAAAGAAAAGAGCAATAGTAACAACAACAGCAAGAAAGACAACAATAATACCAATTCCAACTCATCGGATGACCCCAACAAGAAGGATGACAAGATCGTCAAGAAGAAAGGAGACGACACACCTGATGCTATCAAAACATACAGCGATGTACCGACTCTCGAGACGACAAAGCTTCCCCGCGGTGGTGTCAGTGTCGATACGAAAGCTGTGGGCCGTGTACAGGTAAGTCCTTCATTGGCAAGATACGGTGGTCCCTGTGTGCTGGAGACGCGTTCGGTGTTGCATGTCTTGTGGAACACTGCCAACAGCTTTCTGTGCTTGCCCTTGTTTGTGTGTACGTGCTCGGTCGTTCTTTTAGTTTGGTATCCCTCCCGAGACTATCAAAGACAGCATGAGATTAGGATTGCCTGTGCCACAGGTATACATTGTTCCTGTAGAACGATTTTGCAGAGAGATGGGACCTGCTCTGGGGGTCAATCTGGCAGAGTTTGAGTTCCCTGCCTACTTCAACTTCTTTGTCTACAAAAAGAGATGCACGCTAGTGGTGGACTCGGCAGACGCCGAACAAAACATCCGTCGTGTCTTTAGCGAAACCTTACTCGGTCCTGCACAGTTCCGGAAAGAGGAAGATCCCATCCCACACGAGTCGGAAGATTTCGCACTAGACTTTGACAAAGATGCCATTCCAAACTTCCAAAAAGAGTTGAAGCACTTCCGAATAATGCCGGACGGAAAAGAGCTTGTTCTGGAAACACTGCTCAATTTCCGACACTTTCATATGCCCGTCGAGAATGTGGGTCACGAGAACCTTGGTGTGATCAGACCATCCGAAGACGACGATGAAGAGGGCGAAGCTTGCACGGACGATGAAGAAGACGACGACGATGAGCCAGAGGCAACAGAGGAGGTTCCCCATAATGCAAAAGAGGTCGAGCAAAAGCGTGAGAAGACGCCCTTCAACTACAACCAAGCAAGATGGATGGGTAAGGGCCGCGATGTTTCTCAGTTTTGCTTGTACGTTGGCGTAATTTGTTTGTTCTCACATACATACTTCATCCATGAATTTGCCGCAGGCGATGTAGCGACTGTCTGGCCACCCACAGCCACGGAGGAGCAGATCGCCGCAAGAAACGTCCCTAGGGTTGAGGTCTTCAAAATGCCGGGTGGAACCGAGTACATTGTTCATGACATTGACGAGAACAACTTCATCATCGGAAAAGCTCGGTTCTCGGGTCACGTAAAGGTTTCGGAACAAATGAGCGTGGAAGGATTCGGCGGCACATCTATTCTCGACAACGTCCACGAAGAGGAAAACGGAATTGACGACGACATCGATTCGGATGATTCTGACGCCCCCACCAGAAAGCGAGAGCTTCCACGCACCTTTCATCCGCCATCATTTGGTGTTACCGTTCTCGGAAATTCCCACGGTTTCGATAAGAGTGGGTCTGTGTCTGGTTATGTTTTGTGGATCAATGGTCGTGGTGTGATGATCGATCCTCCACCCTATTCGTCAGCGACTCTCGAAAGAGAAGGTATCCGGCCACGAATGATTGTCGGCATCATTATTACTCACTGTCACGCTGATCACGATGCCGGTGCCTTCCAGAAAGTGCTGACTGGGTCTCCTGTTGTCGTCATCACAACTCCGACGATCTACAAGAGTTTCATTCGGAAGTATGCTGCGCTGTCAGCTTTGAGCCCCGCTCTGCTTCGACACAGCCACCGATACAAGCCAGCCATCATCGGACAACCACTGCGGTTCCAAGGAGCCACCTTTCATTTCACCTATACGCTACACACAATTCCATGTGTGGGTTTCCGAGTAGAATGGCGGGGGAGATCAATGGTTTTTACTGGAGATCATTTCAACAGTCCACCAGCAATAGACAAACTAGAAGAGACGGTACGTTTCCATTTGTTTGTTAAATCTCATGGTGGCAGATTTTTGTAGCAATTCTCACTTTATTTTTGTCCTGTTGTTTCTCAGGGTGTGTTATCCCACGCCAGAGCTAATGACCTCAGACAGCTTCCACTCCAGGAAACTGATCTACTGCTACATGAGGCAGGAGCACCTCCTATCCACACACCCCTGGAAGTTTTGATGAAGTTGCCGTCCCGTGTAAAGAGGAGGCTGTACGTCGTACACACCTCTGCTCTTCCTGAGGACTGTGAACTACGCGTTGCGCCTACCGGAACTGCGGGAACGATTCGCTTGGATCAGCTGCAGAAATCCAGAAATCGACTAGCTGACAGAGGCATGAGTCACAGGAACTGGGGAAATCTGGAAACTTCGTCCGTCAACATGGAGGAAGACCAAGACTTGCCTTCAGCCTGGAATGGTGCCAACAGTGAGTACGATTCTTCCAGTGTTAATAGCTTTGAAGAAAACCATGCGCTGGTTCAAGCGTCAGCTCCAGACTTCGCGACTTCGTTCTCCAATCTATCCGCGGCACAAACGAGTACCGGAAAGAAATCCAGAGCCAACTCTATGTTTGCAAGTGACAGTATGGCGCACATCCCTCTTGTTTCCTTGCGACCGGCGTCGAGCACGGATGCCTGGTTCATCTTGAACTTGTTGAGTGCGGTGCCCTTTTTGTCAAGGTACGTTTGTCTCCACGTTAGCATGAAGCTAAATCTTGCACGCGCCCTTACCATTTTTGTGCCTGTACGCAGTCTGTCATATGCGTCGACCATGGAGGTGCTCGAGACTTGTAGGGTGGACGCGTACTGCGTAAACGATGTTGTTGTCCCCACTACCAGAAGAAGGCAACTGCTGTGTGTAGTTTGGGAGGGAACTTGCGCCGAACGACCGAGGCATACGACGACAAGCCAAGCCAGAGGATCTTCCGTCCTGCCGCCTATCGGAGAATCGGACGTTAACGATGGTCTAGTAGGTGCTGTTTGGTATGCGGGGGATTGGACAGGACCAATTGCACTCCAGCCAGAAAGAAGGCTCAGCGGCGAGAGCGATCTTAGCCCAACACACGACGTCGTTGCAATCTCAGCCGAAGGTGTCAAGGTAATTACGATTGAGATCAGCCACCTGCATCCCATTCTGAAGAGCGGGTCACCGCTGTACAGGAAATACCTTGACCGACGAACGCAACAAGAACGGGCGCAGAGCCTTGAAATGACGGAAGGCGATCACATGAGTGCTACCGAACAATTGCTAGGGGAAGCGCTGCGCAATCTAAACATTTTGGAGCTTTTGAATTGCAATTCTGCTCTGAGGAAACTCAGCGCTGTGCAAAAGAGACACCTCGAAAGTCTTGCGGAGGGACCAGTCAGCTTTCTCCCAGGCGAGCGCATATGGCGATCAGGGGCTCCGGTGGATAAGGCTTTTATCATAGTGTCGGGCACAGCCTCGTTCGTCCCAAGGCGGCGAAACGCTGGATCTGCCAATGTCCCAAATACGAGTCATTCCAAGTATCGGCCAGAGGAATCCAAAGCGAATTGCAGCATTGGAGAAGAAATGCGACAAGATGCTTTGAAGGCCATCGAAGAGCTGGTACGTTAACATGATCTTGATCCCACGAAGTCCCCCCCCCGCGCAAACTCACACGGACTTTCTTTGCTTCAAAAGGGTACCAACAACACAAGTGACAAGCACGACGAAGAATCAACTGACTGCACAGAAGACAGCCGTAAGTATGATAATGTACTGCAGTTTGATTCCATTTTCAGTCAAGGTCGTGGCGGAGATTCCGTGTCATCGCACGCCGAGGGCGACGACTTTGGGAAGCTCAGTCGGGATCTACAAAAACAGGCAGAAAATATGATCAGAGGCCACGGCGCATCATCCAATTCCATTGATTCATCTGTGGATACCGGTGCCTCTGAACAATTCGAGGTTGAAAGTGGCGGCGAGGACGCGTACGGGTACAATGATGACGGCGAACAAAGGGGCCGACGAACACACCTCGTCAGACGGCGATCGTCGAAGGCACGATTTGCCAACAAGGTCTTGGGTCGGTTATATAGCCGCAGAGCATTTACTCACGGTCTCATCTTCAGTCGGGGTCACTTCCTCGGAGATGTGTCGAAAATGGTCGCGGGCGTCCTGTCTTCAGACGTATCGTCTGAATTGGGCGACGATTCCAGTCCATCGTATGGATTTGGTGAAATGTCTGAAAGTGGCGAGCACGGAAGACGGACTTCACAAACGAAGGAAATATCACTGAGTGTGGCGGAGATGGTAATTCACGAATCAGGCAACCACAACATCATGCACAGCTCCACTTTGACAGCCGGCAAAGACGGCTGTGTCGTTTTGGTGTTCCCGAAAGCAAGTTTTGGGCCATTCTTGGACGAGTATCCTGGCTTGTTACTCAGTTTGCTGGGGACACAAGTTGTTGTGTAGGATAATGATTTATCCAAGATTTCGATAGACACTGTGCCATACCCTTTTGTTCAAACGTTTTGGGGAACGACTACGTAGTAGCATGTTGGCGCTATTAAGAAAAGTGCATTTAAACTAACAGAAAGCTGCCCTCCCACCGCATAAAACCGTATATGGCCTGAAAGACTACCGAAGCGACAAACAACAATAGGGCGCAACAGTTGCTCTTTTATGGGTGCCAATTTTCAAAGGAAGATGAAATACGACGAAGAAAGAGAGACCGAAGAAGGCCCCCGTGGAACAGATTGAAGATGCATCGGAGGATGTCAAAGAAGCGAAGCGGCTCATGTAGGCAAAGGAAATCCTGTTGGCGAATGATTCAATCTTCAGAAGCGATTGAACCTGGCTGAAACGGTCAAACCAAGCATGGTACTACCGGTACATTGGACATATTCTTAGCTCACATCTTTTATGCTCCTGTCTGGGTACGAAACCAATGCTAACATCCGACACCTTGAAGTTAATACATGAGTAACGATGCAAAGAGGAGAATTTCACCACATATACTCTGTGCCAGCTTGTAGACCAAACCCACACAGGCAGCATCATAGTCCAAACAGCGTTCCAACCCAGGCAGCCAACAAGCTGATGACGCGTCCCGAGAGCTAACTTAAAGAGCACCGATGATGTATGTTTGACTATCTTATTCGCTTGATCTCCTTCTTTCCCAAATCATACAGATCCGCTACAACCAACTTGACTCTCGATTCGTCCACAATGTCCACTTTTTGGTGGGCAAATTCCTTGTCAAGTTCCTTTTGGTATAAGCCAACATACTGCATATCGGTATCTTTGACCACTACTGGGAGTGCAATGGAATCCAAAGTGTCTTTCAAAAGTTGTTGCTGCTGTTGGATTTCCTCTTTGGACCATTCAGCGCCGCTCACTTTCTCTGTATGATACTGCTCTGGATCCTTTTGTTGCTTAAGCATCTCATACAAGTCCAAATCAGTCAAGCCAAAATCCTTTTCTTCCTCTAGTGTACTAGACGTAAAGAAGTTGGTAGTTCGAGGGGTGGAAAAGCCCTCAATGTTGTCCACTAGCCTCATGTCGTCGCGTCTCCGTTGAGCCGCCTCAAACCTGTGCAATTTCTCCGATTCTTCTCCCTTTTCTTGCTCTAGTTCTTTGAGAATCCGGGGCGACGTCAGTTCCTACGAGGCAGAAGCAGAAGAGGATATCAGGCAAAGAGGATGATCGTTGAGAATGCAAGTATTAATAGTATCAAACCAATACAGTCTGTGGAAGAGCTTACCTTGTTGACCTTCTTCTCGAGTGGTCCAGCATCCTGCAGGAACTTGAGCAAATCAGGGGCGAGTTCTTGTTGCTCCTGTGTCTGTGCATTGGTCTTGTTGCCACTTTGGTGAACCAAAAACTGCTCTTGTGCGGCATCTCTTGGATCTGAAATTTGGCCTCGCAAGAAACCTGTATTGATGTCAGGGCGAGGAGGAGGAGGTGGTGGTCTTGTCGCCGTTGCGGGATCCTTGGGTTGTGGCGCTTGTTGAGGCTTTGAAAACTCTATGGCTTCCCGTTGTTGGCGTTCTTGGAGTGCCTTTTCGGCGTCCTCAATGACAGCAGGAGCATCGGCCGAGGCACGACCGAGAGGCGGAGGTCTGGGAGGAGCAGCAGCGGCAGCCTTCCCCGCTTCTTTTCCAGCGGCTCGTTGAATCTGTTGCGCGGCATGTCGAGAGGCTGAATTACCCATGGCGATGATCAACTAGAGCCAGAAAGAAAAGCAGATCGTGGTCTTTTGGTACTAGTACAATGGGTAGAGGAGCGGTTGTGTTGTTCGACGCCATGGTGACGTTTGAAGACCACAAGAATTCATACCGGTATGCCCCCTGGGTCGTCTCCGTTTCCAGTACTAGTTTAACTTGTCTACTAATACAGGATAATGGTGAATAGAATCGAATGAATCATGTGGCTTATATTTAGGGTTTAGGTTTTGCAATTTTGAAGTCAACGTGGTTTATGTGAGGTTGTAAAAGTTTTGTGTGATAGTATGTGTTAAGTGGAGGGTTGGCTCGCTTCCGCTGGGAGCTTGGTGTCTTCTTTTTCCTCTGCTTCCCGCTCTTCGTCGGAACTGGGGTATTCGGTAATAGGATCGTGAGGAAGTTCGGCAGCTTTCTTCATACCTTGTGGAGTGTCATATTCTGACTATTCGCAGGGATACTTTGGCCGACGTGGTTCGTGGAACAGGTGGGACGGGAGATGACGTATTTGGTTGCATTGGAACTGGGAATGGTTTGCGAATAATATTGGGAGGTCCAGTATTGAGGATTTGAAAGTGAGGGCACGGGGGATTTATACGGGAAGCTACAGTAGGAGACTTACCACCGTTCTCCTGCTGGTGCTTTTCGAGAAGAGTTCCCAAGAAGGCTCAAAGTTCATGCCGGGGGTAGTGCAAAACCATGGGAAGGGCCAGTGTGGCAGCTGAAGGCGAACTGGTGGAGTAGAGTGGGGGCAGGGATGGTGTGCGTGCGAGTGGCATGTAATAATGGTTGCGACGGGCACCAGTGATGGCCCTGCATGCGACCGAGTCCGATGCATCCAAGGTTGTTTCGGTGAAATCAACGGCCGGACGTAAGACGTGAAGCCGGGAGTTGACCACGAGGCCAAATAGAGTACACATGGCCCTTGTCGTCCTTGAGGAATTCGGATACAGTGCGTTATTCGCCTTGATCGATCAAGAATCCGTCACAAGGTGAGTCATGATGTCGGAGTGGGTGATCAGCTCACTCCAGGTGTATGGACCTTGTACCACTTGTCCTGTTCGTCGAGAACTAGTAGGGTTCACCTTCTTTGCCGGGTCGTACACGTATTGCATGTAGGCCGGTTTAAAGGTTTCATTGAACACCTTCAAGGCCATTTCTGGGGTTGGGATCTGGGGCAAAAACGTTCACCAGTTTGTTCCGTCAACTTCACCTCTGGGCACATGATAACAAAGCCTCTTTGGTCATAAGAGTACCGTTGTGGCCTCGTACATAAGGAGCTTTTCCCCATCAGAAGAAGCGGGGTCCACCAATTTGAATACCCACTCGATCATGTGCTTGTCAGCGAGGGCTTGAATAAAGGCCATCATGTCTTTGGTTTAACGCCGTTGACGGGGTGGTCTTTGCGTCGGTTGTACATACACCCAGTAGCTTTCTTTTCAACAAAGCCTGTGAACTTGAGGAACATTCCGGGGAAGGGGGATTCTTCGTCTTCCTTGAGGTTGCTGGAATTACAGCGTGGAACTCCCAGGAGTTGAAAGGACCTCTTGCTTTGTTGCCGCCGCCTTTTTCTTCTTGCTGTTGATACCCGCGGAAGTAGGGTTCGATTGCGACGACGTGTGTTGATGTCGGGTGTTTGGGAAGACATGGTGAAGGAGTTCTGAAACTTGAAGTCCGAAAGAGGAAGGTGAGTGGCCATGTTGAAAGGCAAACATTGCAAACAGAGAAGGTAAAATAGAAAGTACTTACGTGGCAGGAGAGATGGCTGATGGGTTGGCTGTTAGGTAGGATGAGGATGTTTGAGGTTTTGCTGAATGATTTTGTGACTGTTTCAAGATGATCGATGCGATAGGAATGGTTGCATATATACATTTTCAATGCAAAGAAAGTATATATGAAAGCGGGGATGTCTTCGCCTGAGTGTATTCGCTGATACGATTGAGCGGAATGTGTAGCCTGGCTTGTAATCCTATAGTGAAACAGTACACTTGTATCGAAAGGGGGAAGGGGCGTTGCCAGCGGAAGTCGTGCACGATACCTTCGCTAGAATCGAAGTTTTCGTGGAAAGATTCATTGAATTATTTAAGGGACGTACCGTAGACACATGAAGAACACACGTGTGATTGGAGTTTGTGTGAAATCCCCCAATTGCTGCGGCAGGGATTTAGGGTATTTGAAACGGTGCATATAATGATATTTTATCTTACCCACCAGATGACTAGAGCGGGCCCTCACGATTTTTGATTTTCGGGGTATATGTCATCTAAGTGAAAATCACAGCGAGATGGGAGCGGGGCGCGGATGTAAATGAAAGACGTGGGATTTACTTAACGATCAACATGACAGATTAGGAAACGTGGTGCGACTGGTTTCGCTGAAATGAATAAAAGATTTGTCACGCTGTTTTCACTGTGTGGTTGGTGTAGATAGCGTGATTGCCTACCAGTGAAGTCAGCTGTTCTATCGTGAAAATTGGATCGGAGTATAGATAATAGAGTACGATTTTGCTTCGATTCTACACGATGCATACAGCGAAAGAGTGTCTGTTCGAAGAACTGTGGAAGATAGGCTTCGTTCTCACAAAATCCTAATGGCAGGATGTGTTCTCTACATGCAGTGCTTCGTGGGGCTTTCTTTTCTTCTTGGTGGCAGCTTCATGTCCATGTCCAACTTTGAGCCTTTTGAAATTATCGGCACATGTCAAGACCGTGGAGTGCGTTCAGGCTAACATCAACCGTCGGTATGACAATCTGATGATGATGGATCCATGGACCAAGACGTTTACGCCCTATGTCTGCTCGGTATGCGATGAAACCATCATGCATGAAAACAATGTGGAATGGTTGTTCTTCGATCAGTTAAAGAAGGTTCAAGAACATCTACGTTGGGACAAAGTCTTCCAAGATCATACCGGAGTACCGTTGTGAAGCTGTTGAAGACTGTTACCGCTTTAGGGATCCACCTGCGAGGGTTCTGAAGGGATGTCGAAGATGGCTTGGTGAACTGGCGCTTTCACCACGTGGAGTTTACGGGAAAAGGCGCAACGGTCGGAAATGGGCATATCCTGTTGCAAAGGATGTCACGGGAAACTGAAGAAGGAGAACCTGAAACGCCACTATTGCTATTGTCAACAGCAACTTTGTTGGATTTGCACCTGATATTCTCAAGGAATTAACAGAATCGAGATAGCCTTTATTACGACAGTGAAATCTTACGGGTACTGTTTTT